AAGATTCTAAGATCTACAGCTGCTTGGTTTCAAGATAACTTATTGAAATCTCTTGTAAACTTTCTCTGATTAAAACACAGGAAACCTTGTCTGGAAGTCCTGGTTAAATTTTTTTAATTTAACATGATTACTTTCCTCTCAATTTTGGAGGCATTTTAATAGTTACGTTGTAATTTTGGATAGTTTTTGTGTATCTTTGATAAGCGTTTTCCCTGAGGCACTAGAGCTGTGTAAAAACCAAATTGGAACCAAAATATTTGTTAATCCTGTATAAAAGAATAGTTTGCAGCCATGTGCTAGTAGTTTGATTTACCAACATTAGCTCTGTGGTGTCATGCTTTAAAGTTAGCTACTTCTCACAACATACACAACTATAACCTCCATTTTGAAGGTTGTCCAGGCTATTCTCTCTGCTTTCTAATTTGTAGAGAACTAAGATTGTTCTTTCATTACTGGGTATTATGTAACCTATTTTTGCAGAAGGTACTGTTACATCGAGTGCATTATGTGTATTCTTGCAAATGTATTCTTTTGAAATAAACCTTCATATTCTGTATAGCTTCTAGTAAGTCTTTGCAGCAGTCTTTGGGGAAGGAAGACAGAATTAAACAGACATGTTGCTATAGCAAATCAAAACACAGGTGCCATTAGCTTCCAACTAAAACTACTTTGTCTCCTTCACTATGATTGAATTGAAAATCTAGAAGCACATTTGATAGCACAAGAAAGATAAGTACAAAAAATATAGGAATACTCATGGGAGGCCTAAAGAAATAATTTTACAGTATGTTCTTTAGCAGAGCTCCAGCAGAACATTGATACAACTGTGTTTTACACGAGACTACCACAAATGAACTCTGCTTATAGTGCCTGGGGAATCTTACACATTGTTCAGGTAAATCTACAAGTGTTGATGTGGTCTCAAGTAAAAGCAATGAATCTCTGAAAACCTTTTGGTTTTGTTTAACATTGAATGGCCCATGTTACATTTTTCTTGATGAGGCCCAATCAGAAATGTTAGGTAGTCAGTCTAAGACTCATCTATCACCCAGTCACCCTAAGTCTGTAGTTAGAGCGCTGCTGTTCAGCAAGGAAAGGCAAATGTAATCCACCACATAGCTTTACCAGACTGGATAGTTAACAGAAATGAGCATAGGACCTTGCTAACAGAACATGAGAAGAGCTTGTAAAATAGTACTTGAATAAGAGCTGCTTAAGTTCAAATTTATTGGCTCAAATTATCTTTTAAAGTTACGAATTCTAAGGCAAGAGCATGCTGATGTTGCACGTGGATCTTTGATACATTCAGCTACAGTCCTGTTTGCTGTGTGGAAAAACTGGTAAGTATCAGCAGTATTCTGGAAGAATTAATAGCAGAAACTGACTTAAACAAAGCTGGTTTTCAGTAAGGAGCAAAGATGGGAGGAGAGAGAAACCTGGTATAACAGTATTTTCTGGAATTAATCTTGTCTGAATATCCAAAACTGTCAAATATTTATGTTTAAACAGAATAAATACACTGCATTAAGCAAGTGTGTCAGGACACATTTATCCAGTAAGTAATTTATCTTGATGCACTTAATACAACTTCTCCATTGTTCAGTTCTTAGAAAAAAATGAAGTTCAGTTTACTGAGGGTTTGGGTTTGTTTGGTTTTTTGCAGGAATTTCCAGAAGAAAGTAGAAGTTAAAACTTGGTTTCAGAAACTACATATCCATTTGGCTGGAGCACGTACTGCTTTAGGTGTGACAACACATACAGAAACGTTTGCTCTAGCATGAATTTGTAGTGACTAATGGATCAAATGGGAAATATGAAAGTTTAAAAGACAAAGCTATAGAGAGATACAAAACCAGAACTGGAGCTGCAGCTAATCTTGCCAACAGTAAACAAGTCTAGATTTTATCATTTAACATTTGGAATGCATAAATAGTATTTCATGACGTTTTTGCTTACTTAAATAAAAGTTACTGTGCGTAAGAAATTTAAAATAGTGGAACAAACTAGGGTGATGGGAAAGGTGGGGATGTCTGATTGAAATAAAACTGCCAAACCCCTTGTGAATTTATGAAGTATTTAGATCAGAAGTCTGGAAAAGGACAGGGAGGTGTTTTGTTAGGGGTTTTTTTTTAAGGGTTTCATCCAACCTTTGTTACTAGGAAAGAACATAAATACGTAAATGAAAAGTTTATTTAAGTTTGCTCACTTAAATCTGTTTACATACAACAAATATCAGAAGAATGTTAACCAAAATAAATCTCAGTAGATTAAATACCTTAAACTATAGAGAGACTGGTAACTGCAGATGCTTTATAAGAGAAAAGAATGTAATACTGTTTTCTTCACTCACACAAAAAGGAGTATTAAGATACAGCACTGGACTTCTCTGGAACTTATTCAAGTGTTCAAAATTATTTTAACTATTTACAAGGAAAATGTTGTTTCCTTATAGTCTTTAAAAACATATTAATGCAATAAAAACAGTTAAGGCTTTTAAAATGTGAAACATTCAGTAGTTGAACTAGATGCCATTACAACATGGGATAATGGTGTAACATCAGGATGAAAAGAATTTCAGGCGCATACATTGGTACAACTGGTACTGCAGGACCAGAGTCAATGTCGTGTACTTCTAAGCTGTGATTTTTAAAAGTGTAACTTCTTCTCTCTCTTGGTAAATAAAGTAGCTTGGCATTAGCTTTGATTTTTGGATTTCCTTTTAAAACCAGCTATAGAGACCAAGGTAGACATTAGGTAACTAACAGGCTCACAGCTACACTGATGTTTCATCATGGCAGTTGCACAGTTCTGGTGGGTCTAAGCATGGTCTCTTGAAGACTTACTAATCTGTGTGTGTCTTAAGAACTTCCCTAAAATACACAAGTATTTATATAGATATATAATTTGAATCTAAAAAGAGCCAGTCAAGACAGTTAATGTAATAAATCAAATTGACTTGACACCGTTCAACTAGAGGGAACTTCTGTAGGATTCATTTTTGTATGTCTGTTCTGCTCCTGTGAGACCTCACTCTATTATGTACAGTTCTGGTGTCCTCAACATAAGGACATGGAGCTGTTGGAGCAAGTCCAGAGGAGGGCCATGAGGATGATCAGGGGGCTGGAGCACCTCCTGTATGAAGATAGGCTGAGAAAGTTGGGGCTGTTCAGCCTGGAGAAGAGAAGGCTGCGTGGAGACCTCATAGCAGCCTTCCAGTATCTGAAGGGGGCCTACAAGGATGCAGGAGAGGGATTCTTCATCAGGGACTGTAGCAATAGGACAAGGGGGAATGGGTACAAACTAAAACAGGGTAAGGTCGGGTTATATGCAAGTAAGAAACTGTAAGAGTGATGAGGCACTGGAACAGCCTTGCCAGTGTTCAAGGCCAGGTTGGGCAGTGCCTTGAGCAATCTGGTCTAGTGCAAGACATCCCTGCCCATGGCAGGGATTTGACCTAGATGAGCTTATCATTCTATGATTCTGTTTCATCAGTTTTATCCATATTTTCTTTAATAAGCTTATGTCTCTGTAAAAGGTGATTATCAAATGTTGTATAAATAATAGCTATGCATCTACTGACCAGCTAAAAGGATAATCAGAAATTATGTATGTACACTTTGATGAGAGCTGCTTTCACTGAAAGCTATAATATGAAAGATAAACCAAAACTGCCACTTAAAGCTCTATAAGGTTATTGTGGAGGAACTGATGACAGTACCTCCATATTGTTCATTCCCTTATAAAGAAAGTTGCTGTAAGGTATTAATATTCTGTGACTTTGAAGTACCACTATCAATTGTTTTGAGGGCTGACCTGTAAACAGTGATTATACACTGCAGAAATAGAGGGGAGAAAACCTCAAACCATCCACAAGTGACATAATTTGTCCAATAGCAATGGGGGTAGGGGGTTACAATTACAACTCCTTTGTTAGGTCTGCCAGGGGTGCAACTGGCCAAAAACCCAAAACATTCTTACTACTTACCTCACATAGAACCTGGTTTCAAACTTTGAAGGATCTCACTAGAATTCAGTTGTAAACTAAACTGTTAATTATTAAATCAGCCCTTTTTGGCTCTGGCTGATCTACAGTAACAAAAGCCCTACAATTAAGAGACCAGTTAATGCCCTGACACCAAAATATGGAATAGAAAATGAAGTGTCAGTGGAAATAGGCTTAAAATGCTGAACAGGTAACATGCTGAAAAGCTTGGAAAGCTGGAGACACAGTTAAATTCAAAATTGAACTGACTTTCTTCTCAGATTACACAGGATAATGTAACAGCAGCTTTCCTCTTTTAGAAAGAAAAGCTAAAGGTAAACCCAGCATAGATTAAAATATATTTGGTCTGTGACTTATTTCAAAAGAATAGTATTGGTCATCAGCTTCCTCAGCCCTTTGGAAGCTCCAGCTGAAGCTGCACATACTGGCAGAGCTGAAGCTGCACGTACAGCAGTTGTTTCTCCCAGCTCTCTGCTTGTAGAGCTGACGCACATTGGTACATAAATATCAGACATTTCAATAAATGCTAGAACTGGCTGGTGTAAGTCTGCACTGCAGTGTCCTGTTCCTCTTCATGGCTGTGTCTGGGGGTGTGAAGTTGGACTGAATAGACGTTTAACAAAGATTTGGGACAAGTGTCAAGTATTGCAGTGCTGCTCCAGAAGTTTAAAAGGATCCTAAGACGCATTCAGCCACCACTATGTCCTGACCTGTCCCTACTGCAGTGCACAGGAGACCATAGGAAAGAAACAAAATGTTGCATTACTGTGTTTACAAATAATTCTTTTCCTGAAATTTATTCGATCCTTCCAGTGAAATTTCTACAGCTTAGGTTTGCTACTTATGAAACAGTTGGTTAGTTTTAAAAGGTGACTGCAGCATACGTAACTAAATACAGCATTCTCTTACAGAATCAAATGGTAAGGTGGGTTTTAAAAAAAATACTGTATTCCATACAGACATACTACAAGACAAGGAAAACACTGTGTCAAATCACTACATTTCTGCAGAAACTTCTACATGTTCTTTAATTTCCTAAGACCGAAAAAGACAGTGTTACAAAGAGCATTTCAAGGTAGTTTCAAAGTCTATAGGAAAACAGTCATCTAATTTTCTGTTTTTCTTCCACAGAAAGGAAGTGCAGTTATAGCATGGACAGAAGTAATCACGCTAGCTTTATTATAGCTGGCACATTAAATTATAATACAGACTTAATGACAATATGCACTTGGAATTAATACATTACATGGAGCAGTCCGTATCATTGTCCTCGGTATTAAAACTGTTAGCAGTAGCTAAAGATGGCATGGTTGTGTCTACTTAAACTACACTGTGTCTTCATGACATAAATGCATAAATTCATGAGCTGCATGAATTTACAGTAAAGGAACTGGGGCACCAAATCAAATGGGGCCTTTCAACAGCATCTGGCTAACACAGCTAGTCTTGTACAACTCCTGCCTATTCTGTATTCATTGAGATGCAGTGCATAACACCACTAATACCTTGTTATCTCTGACTTCATAGTTTCCATTAAATTTTATAATTTGCCATTGCCAAAAATAATGTTTTAGCAATGGTAAAGAGCTTTATTTAGATTTTCCTTTAACTATTCTACATCCATTGTATGTAAAAGCATCAGAGTTGGTAAGCGTAAATACTGACTGTCAGTGTTATTTCTGTGCCTGAAGGCAGAAGTGTTCCTATGTGTATGCTCAGCAGCATTTACTAGGTTACAAGCATAAACATTAATCCAGCAGCTTCACAGACTTGAAGCACATAAGCAAGCCTTAAGAAAAGATACTCAATGCAAATACTGACTGGATATGGACAGTTCATCTAAAGGGGGGAAAAAAGGTCTGTTTTTGTATTGTTATTTTGGAGCTTCCCCAAATCACCGATGACCCAAACCCAAGGATGTACCCACACTCAGCTCGCTTCAGTTCACTGACACACTGATGTTTCTTCTAATTGCAGTTTTGACCCTTTCCTTGGCATGTGCCAGTGAGCCAGAAAAAAGAAGGCTGCAGACAAAACTAGCAGTTATCCCAGCTTTTCCTGAAACACATTTAGAAAGCTAAGAATGCCAGGCTATGTCAATGGAAGTTTTTCAAGACTGCTTAGCATAATTCAGCTTCAAAATACCACAGCTGAAGGCTTAAGTCTATGCAAGCTTTACTAATGGCTTCAAAATGAAAAGAGAATAGGAACTTCAAGTTAAAACAGACTAAATGTCACATTACTTCATCCAACTCTGTGATGGAGAGTCTAAGATTCTGTGAGTTTAAAGGCATCACCTCATGATCATGACACTGGTATATCACTTTGGATCCTTATGAATTTCACAATAGGTACAACTTGAGCTGGATGGGACCTAAACTGAAATCGGGGTCAGCACTAAAGGACAGTTAAGAGTTTAATTTAAAAAAATGTGTAACTTACACAATTCTGTGTCCCTGTCCACTTCCAAGATCTATATGCATTTGTCTTAGTGTTTGACCGTATCAATCATATTTCACCCTTAGCCCCAGCAAGGCTCTTAGCGACAGCACCACCACCTGCTTCCTTAAATGTGTGATTCACCTAGTGATTAAAGCGCTTGCAGTGTCTTGCTTCATGTTTCACCAACAGATTAGAGAATGATTTATTTTCATCATATTGTTATTATGCTTACAAAAATTACAAACTTTTTTGTGAGCATAATGTTTATACTAAGCTAGCAAGCTCTTCAGTTGATCTGAGTACTGAAACTGATCTGAATTGTTCCCTATGGATTTCCCAAACCCAACAACATTGTGCTGAGAATTCTTCTATGCTGTCAAGTAAACACAGGATCATGACTTCTGAAGATAGACAGCTGAAGTTCTTAAATGCTAAAATCCAAGGAATTTCTCATTTCTGCACATGAAGCTTCTCCGTTAGCACAAGTTAAACTACAAATCAGGGAACATACTGTAAATGCAATAAAGAACTTTGAGGTTTCAGCAAGTTCTCCAGAGCTAACTCTCCAGGGTAAAGAGAGCTTAGGGCAGACGTGGTAAAAGCTGACACAATGACCAGGACTGAACAGCAGGGAACTGACAAGTACTGTAAATTATCAGAGGGTAAGAACAGCTCATCTTGACCTACAAGCATTACGAGAGCACAAAACAGAGTGTACAGGGACAGACAGTCCCAACCCAATATGAAGTAAGTTTGCTGGGCCTTACCTAGATGAGAAGACTTGGCCACTGCATGCTGTGCTGCAGCTGTTTATATGTGAAATAAAAGCAAAATTAAGGACAAATCCCTAAACAATCTCAAAAGGTGATGTAGGGACTTTTATGTTCCAGCCTCTTTCCCCCTCAGCATTTCCCTATGGCAGTTCTTCCCCATCAAAGCAGATGATAGTTGAACTTAAATGCATTGCTTTTTTACTGGACAACTATCAGAACAGTCTGTGAACAAGAAGCTATATGAAAACACTACAAAAGTTAACATCAAATTGACTTCTGTATAAACGATTTTGTATAACAAAGTGTCATTCATCTCACCAAATTTTCCCACTCAAAACAACACTGCTAACAGTTTATTGCTAATTATGCTTAAAAAAAAGCAACTGCACTGAAATCACAAGATAAAATGCATATGTTTAAGTTCCTGCATGTAACATTTGCTATCATTAGACTATATGAACGTTTTTCAGTGTCAGACTTTTCTTGCTACTGAGGTCTTGTTATCATAGCATATATGGAAGAAATGTCAGCATTATATTGCAACCAAACTAAGGCTTGTTACTTTTGCTTTTCTGTAATATGCTTTGTAATGCTGATACTGCATCAATTAACTTGCATTTCATGAGTCACCTGCTGCTTACAGTTACAATATTAAAGACTACTCTTACATAAAATGAATACAGCTCTTAATTCAGTACGTTGTCTTTAAGAATGTACTTTGTATAAACTTCAGCAATTGACTATGATAAGCATCCTAATGGTAAGAAAGCTGATCTAAGCAACGAGCTAGCTTTGTATTGCAGGTCTATTGTAGCAGGAAAGAAGAAAGGTTCAATTAAATGTACATTATCTTCACCTTTGACTTCAGTATTTCCTGCTGAATACACCAAAAGTTCAATTTCAAGAACTCAAATTGCCTTTTATTACATACTGGAATTTTTTTTTCCAAGAACTTGTGTGTACAAGTTTAAAGAAGCATTTGACAATAACGTGAAATACCAAATGGGAGTGGAGATTAGCAATCCAGTGCAAGTGTACACAGAAGAGCATATGCTTCACTTGTAGGTTGTGTGCCTGTGATCCACAAGAGCAGCTCTAAAGACAATCTGAACACATGCTGACTAGATGACTAGCTACAAAATGTATTTTTTGCATTGTATTGAAGTGAATTTTCAGGAATGCTAATTTTATCCTCGTGTTACAATCTTCCTTGGGATCTGCTGTGTTGGGTTGCAGATTCCATAAGCATCACAAGAAAAATGGTTCATTTGAGCATTTAAAAAGTGCCTTTTAGAAAAACATTTATCACTGTGGCAGTGCTCATTGTTTTTTGCCAATTCCAAGAATACCTGTATTTAGCTTTATTTCACAACTACAATGCAACAACAAAAAATTCTAGGATTCTGTCTTCTGTGCTAGCTTTTATCTAGTGGAAAACAAGTGCTACTCTACTTTTCTGCACACTTTCATATATATTATGTAGGCATTTGGAGCATGTGCATGCTAAATTTTATAAACAGATTTAAAGTATAAATCTGCCCTCTTTCACCAGGACGTTAGCTTCAAAAAGGAGGCAGATGAAGCAGTCAGAAGTAAACACTTGTCTTTCGGGTACTCCATCAATATTTTGTTTTCAAAGCTCACTGTTACAGATAAAAGCAATTCTGTTCATTATTTTTAATCATCAGATGCTGTCAAGAGATACCAACTGTGATAGTTGCTTTTGGAGTGCTTAGTCACAGTGGGGTACAAATAAAGCTTCCAGATGCTTCTCATTTTGAATACTATCAAGCTCATCCACTTAAAACTTTTGCTACTAACAAGCTCAGCCTGTGCAGAACAATGTACTAGATTTCACAAATTCTTTACCTTTTTTCCAAAGCTTCAAGACCTGTAAAGTAAAAAGGATAAAAACAGAGAACTGTTTGAACATCATGTTTGCCATCTCATCTAATCTGAAACTCTTTACTCCATTATTGAAAGGAAACCTGAATTATCTGGGAGTTCAGACTTCATGATGACTATTGACATTTTTTCCTCTGTGACCACATGACAACATTACTGTAACTACAGTATATTAGGTTTCAGGCACAGCTGTCTGAAACTGGAAATGTTACATGAATTCTTCTAATCTGAGCAAGTATCTTGGGGTGAAAAGATACACACAATAGCCACAATGCTGCTCCAGCTAGATTTGTTGAAAAAGGAATTTAAAGTGGCAGTACTGTCACTGAAAATAATAAGATAACAAACACTTAGCGCGACATATTTATTTTTCAAGGTCAATAAATAAATGTAAATACACAAATTTGGAAAAATCTTAGTAACAGAATGTTTTTAAACAACATTCTGGCTTAAAGTCTTTGTTATTGACACTACTGGAATATTTTCTGATCTGCTTAAAGTAGGTAAGTCATTATGTTGGTGATCCTCCATCACATTAATTTGAAGAAGTTAGGCTGCTGCAAAGGAAAGAAGATGTCCACCTTTGCTTTGACAGGGAAAATTATCTGCATACATTAAGTATTAAAATTACTTTTCTGGCCATGACTTTTCTAGGTAATAGAGAAATCTTTAAATTTGCAGTTTGTGTATTAGAGACCTCCTACTGTTCATTACCTCATTATTATAAAAGGGAAATTGTAACAAAAGAGGGAAAACCAAAAGAGGCATGAAAGAAAAAAGCGATACAAACTGGCCCTTTAGTTAGTAAGACATTCTTCCTCTATCCATCTGATTTTCATTCTAGGTTCCTAACAGCAGCTTCTTACTGGTGGACGTGTGTTTAGACACACTCTCCCTCAGACATTCTCCGAACACCTGAAACCAGGAATGTCATATCCCACCTGTCTGCCTTCGCTTTCCCAGATTATTGTACACTAATGCACTTACCCGGGCTTAGAGCGCAAATATGTATCTTGTCCGGGAGAAGCAGCCTTTTTCAAAAGTATCTACAAATTGCTAAATAGAAATCTTTATCAAAAAGGTTCAGCAGGAAGGTAACTGTTACTGACTTCAAAGTGGAGGAAGATCTGCAGTTCCCTCAAAATTCAGCAAGAGTTCTGTTCCTGCAGTCTATAAATATTACAAGACGCAACGTGTTTATTTGGTTCCCATAAATTAGAAAAATCTGCTTTCCAAAAATTCTAAATTAGTGATTTAAAAACAAAATATTACACCTGACCACCTTCCCAAACAGTCTCAGAGAACAGCCTCGCTTCTCACCACCCTTCAGAAGTGTGCTTTTTAAGGATACATGATTTATAAAACAAATAAGCGTTTTTTTATCTACAGTACACTTGCTTAAATATACAAGTGGACATGTTAGCATCATGTTAAAGTTCAAGGTACTTCTGGAAAAAAGGCAGATAGTTATTTTAACTCTGCATTCTTACATAGAATAATGATTATTATAGACCTTAGTCACTTCTCATCATTCACCTATCATATAGAGAGGTCAATAAATAAGAACTTATCTGGTCCAGTTTACCTACAAGAGAAAAAATACTAAAAGAAAAAAGAAGTTACCTATAAAATTACTTATTTAACCCTGATAACATCTGAGTTGCCATACCCAGTTTGTAATTGCAAGAAAAGCAAACAATATTCATCTTGCTTATAAATAAATGCCCCATTCTCTATGACAATTTTTTGTGTGATGCCTATCAGGTCACATATTCTTGGGGCAAGAAAGCTGGCCAGGAGGTGCAATGATAGCAGTAACACAGTATAAATCTGGGTTCAAAAAAAACGAACATACCAGATCCAGAAGCAAGGAAATCTGGACACACTGAGGAGGCAGTGCCCAGCTGTTATTCAGGCTCCTGTTTCATGAAGACTATACCGAGCCTAAGATATAGTTTCATACCATGTAAGTAACACAGAACTCCATTGTGCTAGTGTAAAGACTTCGGGAAAAAGTCTTACACAAAACAAATTACCTCCTTTGTTCAGAGTAGAAGATAAAATAGCTTACTAACTGATGTAATGAGTAATGGATGTCACTATGACACAGAACTGCCAAGATTTGTGTGTTCAGCTACAAGGTGCAGTATTTCTTATGACTAACTCAAAGCACAGCCGCATCCAACTGTGATTTGGAATTCCATCTTGAGCAGCACACACCATGACTTTGAAGAAAGTCTGTATGATTGTAACAAAGTCACCCATCCTCTCTTGAAACATGAACAAAATCCATGGGGTAATCAGGCACAGGCGGCATGTAACAGGTTTGTCTTCCTTTTTACTCCTTGTTTTTGCTTCTGAGGACATGCACTTGGCTCCAGACTAAATCCATTTTCTCTTACAAGAGAACACAGCTATTCTTCTCTTTTTCTCTCTCTTTCTCTCGAGGCTCTTTTCGTTTGCGTTCATTACTCCCAGATTGTCTTCCGCTTGCTGGAGAAGCAGCACCTTGTACCTGCTATGTAGAAAAAATAAAGTGAACAAAACAAACATCACTGTAGATGCAATCTGAAGTTATTACTCCATGGTCAAGTTCACAAACAGAAGGTTTAACTATTATGCGAACCAGCAGAACTCAGGTAGGGTCTCTGTGTATGAATACTCCAGAGCTGCCAAAACTTAGTATTTCTAAGAAATTGAGTCAGCTGAAAATGAAAATATATTTCAAGTCCTGTGTGTCCCTTCCATTGTATCCACATACTCAGATCAGTTGTTTCAATACTAAAATGTGGCTTCCAGCATTTTCTGACACTTGTATTTTACCGTACTGGAATTTTTTCCAAGTTTCTTTTGTAAGAGTATAATCCACATTTCAGAAGTTGCAGTTAAAAGTGCTGGTTTTGATAGCTAGATATGGCAAAGCAGCAGCTTTCTGTGACTAGAAACCAGTTAAGAACTTGGCAAGGGAGCTGCTATACAAAGGCAACGTAAGCTATTCCAGCTGCTATCCATTCACAGCCGCAAATGAGCGCATGTTGTTAGGCAGCATTAAGCAGATTCTTCAGTTCTACCTTTTTGCAACCCGCAGTAGTGAATCTGTGTCTTAGAAATAGCTACTGATGATTTATTAAAGCAACATGCAGTGGAAATAAGACTTTTATTTGCCACAATTCTTTCTTCATCCTTAACATCAATTAAAGGTTTTGATGCTTTAGGCCATCAAAGACTGAGCCTTCACACAGATTTTTCACCTATTTGTAAATAAAAGTAGTTTTAAAAGTCTTCCGTAGTTAAGAACTCTCTGAATCCAGAACACCAACTTAAACACTGCCTCTTGCACACAAGATTTAGTTACATGGTAATTTTGTCTATTAATGTGCATGAATCACATTTTCCAACCATGCTCATAGGGATGGGACAGAAGTTGCACAGGGAGAAACTATAAATTTCCTAATTTGAAACAGGACTGAATAAAATCGTGTATCAGAGTGAAACACCTAAAAAGGTACAGCAACAAACTTCTGCAAGACAAAGACCAAACTTTGACTACTATCAAAAAGCTCTTGTTTGAATGCTATTTTGCAAGTAACACAAATATTGGCTAATATAGTCTATGTAACCTTACATATTAACTCATCCCATTATTCCAACTTAAACCATATGAATGAAACCCTAACTTTGGTTAAGCTTGCTTTTTAGCATTTAAGTGGGAGCAACTGCCATACCTGCATGCACACTCCAACAATTACAGCATAGTTCTTAAGATTCCTATATTCATCTCACCACTTGCCATACAGAATGTAAATAGTCTTACCAATGCAAAGGAGTTACAAATGCAGACGTGTGTATGTAACTTAACACTCTGTAAAATTCATTATCATAGTCTGTAATGATGCTTTCTTACCTGGACCTGAGCAGCTGCTTGTTCTTGTTCCTGATAGTACTGAGAAGCTCTCCTGTCCTCCTCTTCCTGGAGCTTCTTTGCTAGCTCTAGATCGCTGATTCCTTCTGGGATCTGTTCCCAGTTAATCTCTTGATTTTGCTGCTCTTGTTGTAGAGACAATGCCATCAGGTAATCCTAAACATTAAACTTGTTTATTAATGCTTTTCCATATAGACAACAGTCAAGTCATATCAGTGAATTTTTCAGCACACAATACCTCACTTTTCTTACAGCCTCATCTTCAAATAGATTTACCTCATGGAAAAGAGGAATTTGAGAACAAATCCATAACCTCACCTGCAGAAAGGCTGAAAACAGCTACTTTACATTTTTCCTTTCGCAGTGCCTATGTCATACCATACAAAACACAAGAGCTATGTTGTGTACATATGTGTTTTTGATAAATAAAATCTCTATCAGGTTTTCAATTCCATTACCTGGACAGCAGCAAAAGACAGTGTCAGCTCATACAAGTTCTAGGTAGAAGTAAAGATTTTATTACCGTTACTTACGTCAGACTCTTCATTCTGCGAGAGATGCACTGCTTTAATTTATTAAAACCCACCTGTTTATTCATTTTCCCCCAGTATTTAAAAAACATTGGTGGTTATTATAAAAATAAACTTATTTTGCTTATTCAAAATGTCAGGTTTCCCAGGAGCTTCTTGCTATATGCTTATATATTACAGATGAGTTCCATCTCAGACACTAATTCTATGTAGTTAAAAAAACAAATGACCACCATCACACACGATCCGCTATGAGTTTTGTCCTACAGTCAGCAAGTGGGCATCAGAAGGCAAAGTTCAGTTATGACAATATTAATGACTTGAAATTAATTTGTTTTGGGGACAAGTTTTGCAGTGCTGTTTCTGTTTCCATATACAAGGCAGATGTGACATTTCACCCAGGTTCTTTGTAGAAGGAGATTCTAAGAGATTAAAATGAGATTTTCCAAACTATTCACAGATGACCCTGCTCTTCTTCCCTTTAAGTCATGCTAATACTTCGAAGTATCACATGTGAGAACCCCAAACTAAGTAGCTGAAGAATTTTTTATAGTCCTATATATGCACAAGTACATGACTAAAAACACATAGTAACTGTTGCACACAGTCACAAGCAAAAAGAGAAGTACAATAGAAAAGCAGAAATACAGTACTTGATCTATTTGATCCTGCTGCCCTCTGTAGACAGTTTCAGGGTCTGATGGAGGCCGTAGGTGGAACTCAGAATCACAGAAGTTTCCATCACCATCCACATTGTGCAAGCTTTCCCAAACAACTTTCTCTTCTGTGAGAAAGCCCTGATCTGTCACCAGCAGGTAAAGCTGGCCCTATGCAGAAGAATAAAGAAAACCTGTGAAACTAAAACATTATTTTTTACGGTCTGTTAGATTTAGCAGAAATGCTCAGCTAACACAACTGCTGCATTCCAGTAAAACATTCATTTAGATTTTTTAGCAAGATTAAAACATAAATGAATCAGTACAGAGCACTAAACCACCAGATACTAGCATTCATTGCTAAATTAACAGTCACACAGTTTCTGGATTCCATCTTGTAATTTTGTACTATTAATGAAAGTTCACATTCACTAAAAATTTATATAAAACATGAATATATACCTTTGATATCTCCCTGTAAATGCAATTGAGAAGTATGCCTCAAGACTTGTAATGTAAATTTGAAGTCCCAGGACAAACCACATTAAATTCCAAAGGCAAGATCTGGAGACAAAGGTGATCTTTCCAAATAATCCAAGAGGCATTACCTCAAAACAACTGCATCCCAGACTTCATGTTTTATAATGGGGTTTAGCAGAATGAAGTTTATTTCAATTGAAAAAAAACCTGAATTTAAAATTCTTGCTATCACTTGTCACCAGTAACTGCTTTTGTTGGATGTTGGCGTTTTTACAGTTCCACAAGGTCAGATTTCTTGATTTAAACTCTGAAATTATAAAATGGGCTGGTCTGGGAGTGAAAGAGACAATGCTAACAAGTCCAGAAGCCAAGGTACAAGGAGGATGAAATGCAAGTTCAGGCTGAAGGAATGGGAGAGGAGCTGAAATTAATGGGAAATTACAGAAGTGGTTCTCAAGTAAAAGGAGATGGAGCTGCATGTTTGAGGGACAGCAAAGCAGCAAAAAAATCCATGTTTAAATTTCAGTTTAAATGAGGTCTTAATCTTACCCTATTTATAATGTTTTTTAGAATTATACTCCAAAGCAAGAACATTATTTACGCTAACAGCCATATACCACAGGCACACACAAGGCAGTTCCTGTTCTAATGATTTCCTAGGTTGACAGGCAAAAAATGAAAACATCAGCCCTACTCAACAAGTATAGGACTGGCTCATAGACTTCTCTCAAGTCATTAGAAGACTGTCTATAGGATACAGTGAAATCCAAATCAGATCTTTCTAATCCTACTAAGTTACAGCCATCCCTTCTATGGCTGGTAGGTCATATGACAAAAATATTCTTTGAGGATTCACATGCAGCAATTGTTCTAATATTACCTAATATCACGAGATGTGCTTATACAAAAGGCCAAAGAGAACACGTAAAAAACCCACAAAGGACACAGTTTTATCTTCAAGCTTTGGAATGGCAGTTATTACAGCACAGGTGGGCTTATAGACATAAATGTAACTGTCAGCAGTAAGTCTGATCACATAACATGATCTAAGGATTATCTTTCCCTCAGAAACCTACATAAAACCTGATTGCTACTTCTGATGCTTAAAAACCACAGGAAGAAAATTTTTATTATTATTATTAAATTATTAAATTATTATTAAGAAGTAATTTCGAATCACCTCTAGTTCATACAAAACACCTTTTTCACAGCAGCTTAAATCTAAGTCTTTAAAGAAGTCTTTAAAAAATGTAAAAAAAAAAAAAATAAAAAAAAAAATCACAGAATCTTTAAGGTAAGTGTATTTGAACCTTTTCAATTTTATTTTGTCCAGTGCATTGACTCTAACAAAACCTAAAAAGAAAAAAAAAGGGGGTTGAGGGCTCTCAAGTTTTTTTCTATTATGCCATATATTTTGCGTTACTTTTTAAACAGCTCCGTGTAGCTTACTAAGAATACTGAAATAGAGAAATTTTAATGCTTTCATAATCTCCCAAGTATTAGAAGATGAACTTTCCACACACAAATATTAAAGTACAGAATTACTTCTGTGGGATTAGAATCTAGTATCTGTCATTCAAAGACATTTTAAAACTAGCAGCTATTTGAAAGAGAAATGTTTAAAACAAAATTCATATTCTTACTTGGGTTTTAAGACTTCCTCAGCGGAACTACACAGGGACGCTGATTTTTAAAATGTCATCTTAAGAGTAAATGAACATTTTAACACAGCTCCCTGATGAAAGGCAAGAAACTGCATTACGCATCACTGTATTACCTAAACAATACCACCCTAATTCCAGTATCAATTGCAAAGCTTCACTTTAACAAAACTTAGCAAAGTAACAAACACAGCCTCCCTAGTACTTGTGAAGAGATGGAGTTCTTTTAACTTTATTGGAATGAAAGAACAATGGGGAAGCACAGGTCAAAGATCTAAAGTCATCTTTCCCTTTTTGTTTGTTTATCAGTCACTCTGATCTCTACTTCATATTAGTATAATTGCCCCAAAAAACCCAAACAGATTCCCAAGGACCCTCATAACACTGCTAATACTCACATAACTTTGGTAATAACTGGGCAACTTTCAGCTTCATATACAAAATACGAGTGAGCTCTTTTTGTACTAGGCATCATCTCCACAGATATCAGTCTTCCTAAAACTTAAATGTTTTGCTCCATCTACTTGAAACAAGCAAATAAAGGCCAAAGGTACAGACTGTTTTTACAGGCACCGCTTTAATGCCAATGCATGTTCTTTTCCCAATTCTAAAGGCTCACAGGCCAACTTCACTGACCCAGCGAAATTCCACTGAGGGGATTTTGTGATCTATGAAAAGCTTTTTATGATACAACCTTCAACTTCTTATCATACGACCTTCACCTTGCCTCTATAATTTGAGTTGCACTAAGGAATGATATGGCTGGTGCCAGGAACCAGCCACCATTCTTCAGCACTTAACAGATCAGCCTTTGGTAAGAGACACTGATGTACAACCAGTATAACGTAACACTGGGATTTCTGACTGGATGTGTCCAGTAGTTCTACAAGACATTTGCAGCCTACCAAAGTTTCTGCACTTCAGCTCCACTCAGTGCAACACACAGGAAGGAAAAGTGTAAGAGGGCACACAGTGACAGAATCAGTAAGAATTATCCAGTGTTGAAACATTCATTTACACTGAAGTAAGAATTTAGGAAGGAGGCTTTAAAATAGGTAAAAATCAGAATGTGTTCTACTTATTAGATCATGGTGCTGATTCTGCATTTACTTTCTAGTCAGGGTTAAAGCTGAAACAGGATGATCAGCACACCAAGTTCATGCAATTAAGCTAATGAATGTACATGAATATGCTTTTCAAATACACACTGCAAAGAACAACATCATACTTGACAAAATAAATGTGTTTCTACCTTCATAAAATCTTAACTGGCCACTTCTAAAGTATTACCAGCTTATCTTTAAGGTTTATTTTTAAATATGGGGCTTTTTAATTAATAGTCTCATGGGTTAACACTGCCCCCAAAAGTACTAGCACATACTATGAGTAGTAACAGAAAGTAGTACCTGCTCTTAATAGGGAATAAAACAGTAAAATAAAGTCTTAAGTGGATAACTGTTAATGTAATCTGTCCCTACACTAAAGTTACAAATAATTATTTATCCTAAGACTCAATAGCTAGATATTGTAGACCAATGCCCAGATTTTATAGTTTCACATATAAAAAGCTTGAAATAAAGCCAAGGAAGGATAAAAGTAATACTACTCTCCTGAAGAACAATCTCTTAGTCTCTGGTTTGTACAGAAAACTACTCTGAAATGCAAACAGATGTAACCAGTAACATCACCTGCAGCCCACAAGACCTCCTTTCCTGGCTTAATTCCATGACCAGAGTAAATAATTAAAATTAATGGTTTTACAGTCCTTGTTCTGAAGCCAATTACCAAGTTTCCAGCAATTTAGAAAACTGAAAAGGAAAACCAAATATCTCACCAATAGCTTTTACAGTAAAGACAAACATTTAAAGCCTTATCCTTCAAAATCTATGAAAATGTTTTCTTGGGCTTCTGGATCAGACCCCTTGGTTCTTATTAAGAGGTCATATATATTTTACATCAATGTGAATGAGTGCTTTCTTGAGATTTTTCTAATCTATCTGAATGTTTTAACTGTTAGAGAAAAGTATGAATTGTTTTAAAAGGTAAGCACCGTTTGATTCAACAGAGTAATCCTGAGAAATAAAACCTGCACACTTACTAAGAAACGGAAAAACATTTAAACATGTTTTTAAGAAGTTATATACATTACCCCTACTATGCCAAACTCAGACATCATCTTAAACACCAAAGGAAAAAGTGCAATTATTGCTATGAAATATACTTTGTATTTAATTAAAAGTCTGTACTGAGTTCTGCAATAGAATCCCGATATATATAAACTAGAAAACAGAACTGCACCACACATAGTTAAAATCCAAACAGGTAAGTATCTTGTCACTTTTCAGTAAAGAAAATAGGTTGTATTACAGTCACACCAGTGGGAAAAACATTCCAACTGAACCAAGATACTCTTACCAAACTGATCCCCTCTTTACAGTCCTGTTTTTCCTTGATCTAGGGAATTATCATTTGATGTATTTATTATCTGTGTAATGAAAAGCAAAGGCAAAAAAAAAAAATAATAATCACATCTTTAAGTGCTGAAAATGATTACTGTATAATCACACGAGCCAAGACTATTAATATGCAATTAAAGGGACAGGAAGTAGAATAAATGACTACTCAGGCAAATGGACAAATAGTACTGAAAGAGATGAAGAATCTGATAACTGAACTGCCATTATTAACTAACACTCACCATACTTCAGCAGATGTCTAATACAGTGTTGCCATATTTGCTTTTCTTTTGTAGGTGATAATTACATTTTTTTTTTCCATAGGCATAAACACGATCCTAATACTCAGACTTTGCCCAAAACAGAAATGACAACATATTGTATTATGCAAATTTAATTCAATTTTCAGAAGAGGACTAGTAAAATATTTATTATTCAAGACCACATTAAATAATAGAACCTGAGTAAACAAACTGAATTTAACTGATGGTCTATTCTGAAATGCAATCTGTGAATTGTCACAATTACATTGCAATTATCAACTCAGCAGTTTAAAAAAATACCAACACAACACTCAAGTCTTTAGAGAAGGATCACTTCAAAACTTTTCCTAGTAATATCTGAAAAACCTCACTGTCACCATTATTCTACTACTGCTACTTTACTCATCAAGCTTCCATTATTTTGATGTGAAAGCTGTAACTAAAACAAAAAATATTACTGAATGAGACCCTTCCATTTAACTCTTACTCTTGGAGTCAAGAATTTGGAAGATTTGTAAAAATGGCACAAGTTACCTGGCTGAAGATTAACCTTTTAGAAGTGTCCATATATTAAACTGGAATACTTCAAAACAGTAACGAAAGGCTTCAAGTACAGTGACAGTGAACTAAAACCAGTTTTCTTCCTTTGACTTTTTCTCTTGTTCATAAATCAAAAACTCTTAAGTTTTCTAATACTTTTCACCTATAATTGTCCAGCTCAAAGCCTGAAGTATTGTCATACCCATAACTCGTGTAGAAATGCCTTTTAAATATCTGCTAGCAGAGACTGTTAATAAGCTTTTGCCTACAATATATAAAGCACTGATACCTTCTTACTCTACACCAGGAATTCATAATGTTGCTCTATGTTCATAACCATTCTATTTCTGTTCTTGCAAGAAGTACTTAAGTGCGAAAAACCCCAACCACCTATTTTATTATTGTTAATTTAGTAACAATTAAAAAAAATATTAAAAAGCCACATTTATGAGGAGTCACTCCAATTCCTTTCCTTACAGATTCCTTTACTATCCATGCAAAACCAAAAAAATCAATACACACTGGACACAAAGGAAGCACGAGTAGATTAACCAGCCTAATAAATCATAGAAGTTGGGCAAATAGTACCCCAATTGTTTCCAAGCAGTTCTTGTCACTATGCAACATCCTGTAACAGCAGCTTGTGAAAGAAATTTCAAACCAAAGACACAAGAATTCAGAATACTGCGCTGTTTATTCACACTTCCAAGTAACTCTCATTTGAGTAAAACAGCCCTCTAAAATAAGCAATTCAAAAGCAAGGTAAAAATCCTTTGATCTGGCAGTGGAAAGCCACTCTAAACTCAGAACTGGGTAGTGTTGTCAGTTTTAGTAAATCTTGCATTTTTAAATTTATACTATGTGTCAAATAATAAATACTGCAAACTCTTTGTAATAAATACTTCAAAACCAGAGAATTCAAATTATATGCACAAAGGATGTTACCAGTCTCCACCTCTCCCATATCTGCTCTAAAATATCCACAAGATTATCCCTCCTTAAAGAAGAACAGAAACCAGAAAATATCTATCACGTCTAAAACTACTAAAACTAGCTCACCAGATGGGATGTGGACCGGACTTTAGTACAACTTTAAAAAAAGTAATCTGAACAGCCAAGCACCACAAATATTAAAAATGGCTCAAACACAATCATACGATTGTTTCATGGCACCAATAAAGAGCAGAATTAAGGTTATTCTGGTTCATCTGTTCAATTAGAATAACATGTTGAACTTGAAAATGTCTCCAATTTATGACTTTTGCTCTTTGAATTATTTCAGTATCACCAAGTATTTTCTTTCCTAAAATTACACAGACTCTTCAATTCTAAAGCAAATTCCAGAAAACATAAGCACATAAAAAAACAGGCTTCTATGTTTCCTTTAAAAAGGATCAGTGATCTGGTTTGGTTTCTTTTGTTTTGTTTTTTTCTTTTAATTTCCTCCAATAAGTGCAGTTAAGATCAGCCTACATTCTACTTCCTTTGAAACATAACACACTGGAATCCTTCAAACACAACACACTGAAATCCTTCAAATACAACACACTGAAATCCAAGCCCCTTCACTAAAATATTGGCCTGAAAAACAAAAAGCTGAACTTCAGAAGTATCTCCATCATACAAGTCACTGTATCAGCTGTACATGAAAGTTTCCAAATAAAAGTTTTAGCTTCATTAGAATGATACTTAAATGGCCTAATATACCCAAGGGATTTTAATTATATATTTCTGCTAATTATTCAGACTGTCATTGTCTCTAAAACCGCACAAGTTTTATTATGTGCACATAGCTTTTATTATGGGTGTAATTCCCTTCTGTTTAACTTTGCAACTGTTTCTTTTGTCTGTTTCCATATATTGGTATGGAGGTGTAAGAGGGAAGGGCAGTATTAGACAGACAAACATATTGCGTAGTTCTTGCCCCAAAAGTTCTACACCTTCCATTTTCTCTGGTATATGTTGTGTCTTCAGTTTTCATAATTAATGGACTTTTCACCATAGTCTGGCTACTGCTGAATACTGCTCAAACTGTGACGTAAAGGAAACTCCATTAAAAATCTGCAGAGCTAGCATTAAACCTAGTAAAAGGAAAGAGTAAAGCAGTTGAAAATTATCAACTCTGTGACAACAATACATTTTGATTTTATGTGTGTATCTAGGAGGTCCAATAGTTTCTGCATTGCTAACCTTGGCTAAAAGCATAGACTGTTTCTGACTTCCTTGATATGAAATCATGTATCTATTGCAAATAGCTAGGTAGGTTAGAAACAGACAGAAAGGTTACTACTGGCTTTTAGAAATAAAGATTTTACGTCTTTATTAAAAGTTTCTTGATATCTCAAATTCTGTAATGTACTACTCACCAGAAGTCCAAAGGAAAATGAACAACAATGCTTAAAAAAGGCAGCCTCAGAAACTAAAAGCCTGTAGATAACATGAAAATTCAACACTAGCTGCACAAGGTCACCATAATGACTATGAAACGCAAGAATAATGGCTCCAAATTCCAAAACTTAGCATTTCAGCAGTCCAAGACTTTTCAAAAAGGACAAGATTAAAACCATACTGACTGAGAATTAGTAAAGCTTAAAATGCACAACTAATAAATAATACTATTCTTCAAATATTTTAATTCAGTATTTCTTAGGATTTAGTTCTTACAGTTAAAATTCAGAGGAGGAGTCCCAAACGCATTAACTAAGTTGTCGTTTGCTTTTCCTATCCTGGAATACTCTTTTCACAATTCTTACGGTTTTCCTTCCCCTGTTTCAGATTCAAAAAACCCAATCCCTTTAACAAAGGGAACCAGTACTGTAGCTCCCCCCTCAACTCCGCCAAACGTCTGGCATTTTGAACAACACGATGGAGCTACTCATCTGTTGGCCCAAACATAAAGCAAAGTTTTATATCCCCAGAAACAAAAAATTAATTAACTTCTTCACTGCCAATCACTGCCAGTAAATTTAAGCCATGTAAGAGACGTAAGTAATTATACATAACTGCAAAGGGAGTTAACACAGGGAACAAACTAAGCAAAGTGAAGAGATACAAGAAGATTTAAAGTGAGAATTCATCCCGGTATCTAAAACACTGTAATCAATAACTCACAAGTAACATTTGCTACACACCTTATATTCACCATAAGCCATACCTACATATGGCCCTACTCTGGAATTTATTTCTATTTCTAGAATGAGGAAAACCAAGATTTGCTTTGAAATGAGAATATAAGCCACAACAATAACGACAAATATGCTGAATATACCTTGTATTTGGTCATGGTGCTGAAATGATTATTCCTGAAGAATACACAAAGCTCTCCCTCCTGGACAGCTGAAGTCAACTCACACAGTCCATGGTATGTCAGCTGTGTAGCTGTGTTATTTAGAAATTGCTCAGCTACAAATCCTACAAAAGCAATACATACTGTTATGTGTGTCTATTACGTACTTCCTAATGTATAAAATCTGGGTACAATGGTAATATTTTTCCATCTCCTCCCTATGAGGATGCCCCATATTGCCACAAATCTAAGGGAACACATTTAGAGAGGCAAAAATGAGTTGAAAGTTCAAAAACCTCAGCATTTTAGATAAACCTCTCATGTTCAGAAATGCTACATCCACTTCCAGTATTACTGCTTTTTACCTTGTCATCATGTAGTATATAATTCATATTCTAATTATAAGAGACAATAAATAGCCAAGCTGAAATTGAAGTGGTGCCTGTAATACCTTTTCAGAAAAGAAGTCCCCTCCAGCTTTTTAAAAAGTATACTTAATAGATCCGAGAGAACAAGGCTGACCCTTGGCTTCGAAAGTGCATCAGGGAAGTTTAGAAGACAAGTACAGTGCTGTCTGCCCGCCCAGGGAAGAAGCTCAGCAGACAGAATGTAGCTCTTCACACTTGTATCTACATACCAACATCACATACAAAATACGTAACTAAGATTTGATAGGGTAGATACTTTGATGAAGCACAGAAGAAAGTTACCCACCTTCACTAACCAGTTCACTGTTGTCTGACTGTTTACAAGAAATTATCTTCTCCACCAGCTGATTGTAACTGCAGTTACCAACTGCTTTTACTATGTCAGCAACCTGCAACAGGGAAGACCACAAAACAGAGAACTTACCTTTGTAAGAACAGAAGACAACAGTGAGCCTATAGCAGTTATTCATAATAAGAGTTTCAATAAAGGACGGACATTATCCCCCCAGAAATACTATGACAGAAAGTTTTAGCAAAATGTGTAATAGTCTGGGCTGGCTTAGATCCCATTTTAAGTCCTTAAGTTAGCACTTAATATTGAAAGCTGTTGCTAAAGCAGATGGAGGACAGAATGGGGCATCAGCTGGCTCAGTCGGGTGGGTGGGTAAATTCCAATGGGGTAAGAGAACAGCAACTTTCATGACCAAGGTATGAAAAGAAAAAAACAAGGCAGATTATTTCAGCCAAACTCACCAGTTTCCCCCTAAGTAAAGAGAACCATTTTACTGTTTATTAAATACTAACATTAAAAATAAATTATATGTTTGTTAAAGATGCTGTTCTCTATAATTGGTTCTAATGCTCAGTTCTCAGAAGCACTGACTAGTAAATCAGAAGAAAGGAGAAAAGTAACCTTGCATTTCTTCCAAGTGCTTAGTGAGCTTTCAAAAACAATGACCGGGACACAGTATTTGGCAACTTTCTACTTCCTGCAGCACAACAGTTCTCATTTAAACAGTCATCTATTCAGCACAGACGGTTTTTAAAGTTAGTCTGACTATAACTGTAGTCTCTGCAAAGTCACCACACTAAAAACCAAGGGGGTCCAGTTTTTCTCAGTAGATTTAAAAAAAAACCATTAATCATTATTATTGACTCCAGGTAAAATTCTGAAACCTCGCCTTTCCCCCTGAGAAAATTCAGAATTACTTATATTCTGTTTGAATTATTGAAAAAAAAAACAAAACACAACAAAACAAGTTACCTGAGGGTCCACTAACCATCCATGGTACAAGGGGATATCAAGAAGATCAAACACTATGCATTCAGGTGTGTATTCAAACACTCGTACACCTGTAAACTTCACATTGACATCCAGACCCGTCTGTAACTTATGTAGAATCGCCATTGCATCACTCATATTCTTACAGCAGAAAGAAGGAAAAAAGAACAGATGACCAAATAGAGCTTTGTACACTTGGGGGTTACTCTTGTAAGCCTTCCTCATTCAGTACTCATCAATTCAACATTTTTGAGGGGGAAAAAAAAAGGGCAAAATTACAAAAGCAGGAATTAGCTAAACAACTGTTTCACTGCATATTCACATTATTAATTCTCAGTTTGCTGATCTCTTCTAGCACAATGAGAACTCTCCCTCCAATCAGCTGTATCCAACTATTTATTCTTCTGCACTCATAAGCTGCTTTTAGGCAGCTCTTATTTCTTTTAACTCTATCCCTATAACCACAAGCCAGTTATTTGCAAAAACTAGATTATAAAGGATTATCTCAGGGACCATCCTGAGGGTTCTTATCCTCTTGTAAGTCCTGCCTTATGAGTCAGGCTGAAGTACTTGCCACCACACCACAAATGAGCAAAGTGAACAGATCTACTTGCCAACTCTAATTTGGGAGTTCAATACTTAAAAGTGGTGACCAAAGATGAAGAGATCTGATTTTTTTGTTGTTTAATAAAAGTTTTGCTCTGCATTTCATCAGAAGTGACCAGGTATCAAGCTTTTATACTTCAGGTGTTTTAAAAGAAATAATTACATACTCTGCTAAATGAACAGAAAAAAGTCTATAGCAACTCCGTTAGCCATACGCAAATTCAGATCATACATCTAGAAGCATCAGTTGAATTTGTTTTGTAATGTTTACTTTGTAAACAAAGCAGCAATAAAAACTGTCTAGAAAGCTGCAGAAGTTCCTCACTACAATTTGAACAGTATCATTCCTGTTTTAGCTATTATTAAGCAAAGCAACAGACGTCTAAAAAAATGGATGTAAGTGAGGATATAAATATACAGAACAGTTGAGTTTGGAAGGGACCTCTGGAAGTCGTCTGGTCCAGCCTCCTCAAGCAGGGCCACCTACAGCCGGTTACCCAGGGGCATGTCCAGATGACTTTGACTACCTCCAAGGATGGAGGCTGCATAACCTCCCTGGGCAACCTGTTCTTAAGTTTGTGCATTTGAACTTGTATTTGAATGAAAAAATTAAATCCCTCGAGTATGATAAAAAAGAAAGTCGCAACTGAAATTAGTATCTTGTCATGGTATAGAAATTATTGTAATATCAAGCATTATAAATCACGCTGTCTGAAAAATTCACTTGAATTTCTTGTAAGAAGAAAACATTGTTTAAGGCAAAGAATATTAACTGTGTAACAAGATGAAACACAAAATTATGATTAACATCTAGACTTAGTTCTAATACTTCTGAAATGCAATAACTTTGTAAAACTCAATAGTGTAATTAGTTTCTTTTTCCCCTCTCATGTGATACCAGTCATGCATTCATAGAGCAGAAGCCTTCTTTGAACTCGTTAAGTTAAAGATTTAAGGAACAGGTTTGTGACATATAAATAGTAAACCCATATATCTGAGCACAAGAAAGTCATAAAGGTTGTACTTTAACCAGGTATAGAACTTTCATCACACTCCTGTGGTTGGTTCTGTTATCATCCATAGTACAGAATTGTGTGGAAAAAAATATAATAATCTTGTTATTACAAAATACAGAATTTGATATTTTGATATAATTTGGATTATTATTAAACGAATCCACATTCAGTCTTCATTCCGATTTCAACTATCCCAAGATACTAGTTTTGATTTTCAACACTGAATAAGACCAAGAAAAGAAGACCTAATAATAAACAGAAATAGCCTGAAACCCAGCAACTATAATAAATTCAAATCACTTTTCCATGAGTAACCAAAAAAAACAGCTGTGACCACAGAGCGTGAAAAACTTGCTCTGAGAGAATATATACTACACCAATATTTCCTTTAAAATAATAGCATCATCTTTAACACAGAAAGACCTCTGTGATGAACAAAAAATTGTGGTCAGTGCAAATAATATTGCCTTTCATAATATGGAATACACCTCCTTCCGTCCATCATGACTTAAGAATGGAGATCTCTCTCTTGCCCAGTTTACATCCTTGGAGCAAGTCTAGCAAGCATCACGTAACAGAATACACTTAAGGATGCCTAATAGAAGATTTCAAAAGCAACCACCCTGTTGCATGCTCCCATCTGCACTTCCACGTTACAATTCCCCAATAAAACCAAAATTCTTTCATTATACTCCTTACAGGCAAATAAAAATAATTTCTTACCTTACTAGATACCGAGTTTTCCTCCATTAATAGAAAGTATTTATAAATTATACTCTACATAAAGCCTAGAAAAAAAGGAGAAACTAACTACAAAGAATGGCTTGTATGCTTCTGGTTTTTAACAAGGTAAGCCTGAGGTAAGAAGAAAAAGGTTTAGTTCCTTTAAAAGTAAGCAACTATTTCAGGAGCAGTTCCTTACCTGCTCATAATTTAGACGCTGAATTTCAGATATCTCTTTAGGTTTTGCATCAAGAATATAGTCTCCTAAAAAAGGCAAAAATAAAATTAAATTCATTCCACACTCAAAGTTTCAACACTTTGTTGAACACTTCTGATTGAAGCTGACTGGTCATAAATACTGCCATTGAAGATTTCTACCAAATTAATGAGACTGCATTGTTTTACAACCTGAATTATAATTATGAAGTAAAACATGAGTATAAAACCATAGTAAGAACATATTAAGAAATAAAATTCAAATGGCCAATGCTGTTACTAAAGCAGCACTTCATAATCTCTTGGGGTATCACACTACTCTCTTAATTATTCACATAGAAATTCACCTTCCTCTGTGCCTCAATTTAAAAACAGCAAAAGGTCAAACTGTGTACAATAAGGTATGTAATTGCATTACACGATTACAAAGGCAACCACTTATTCTCACTGATACTATGAGTATTTTGGAATATGTTTCCATGCACCAGTAATTCTGACAGGCGTGTATTCCACCTGTGTCTACAACACAAATGTAATTAATCAGTTAATCAGCACACTGGAGTTCAAGAGCTATAAAATCTTTAGTGACCAGTATCCATAAACTGCCTCTCCAAAATGCTTCAGTTTTTATTTCAGTGCTTTTTGTATTTATTCTCTTGCTCCATTACTAAAAAATACATCTATAGCCAAAGAAAAACATCATTACAGGTTTCCATACTGATGATCTTTAAAGTTAAGATTGTTCATAGTGGTTAAAGAGCTCTTTTAGTTTTCTTTTAAGCTGTAGAAACCATTTGGGAACTGCTGATCCTGCTGATAGACTAGGAACCTAGATAATTTGGGCTGATAATTTTGTTATTCAATTTAATAAGGTAATTCCAGAAGCTAATATATGCCTGCAAGAAAGAATTCTAGTTATGTAAATGCATGTATTATGTGTGACTTCAGACAGTATTATTCTATCCAAACAGAAGAAATGTTTAGACACAGGCAGCAATATATCTTAAGATTTGTTTTTCTGAAGTTATGTAATTAACTTTCTTCTTCCACTGAAAGGTTCAGTGCTAGGCTTTTGAAAAGAACAAGCTACACTCTTTACAAGCAAAAAATAAACAAAGAAAATACAGTACTTGCTAGACTACAAAGGGGAAGAACTATGGTACACATAGCTTAAGTACTATAGCAACTGCACTTTTAACGATCATTCTGGGCTACCGACCTTACTGACATGTCAGAAGAAAACAGTTGCAGTTTTGCTGGATAATTGAGTAACGCCTGGAAATGAGACTCCTATCACTGTGAAGAACAAATTATTTTTTCCTGTTATTTTAATTGGGTCACACTATTAAGGATTAGAGTTACTGCAGTCAATTAAAGGCCCAGCTGAGTTACTACATTGTGTCAACTATAATAAAACAACATTGTAACAGACATTAATAAGTTTAAAGATACCACAAGCCATAGCAACTGCATCACTAAACTAATCACTCTGGAGAGCAGTACAGGAAACTTCTAAATGCAATTAAGGAAAAGCACAAGCAACTGAAATCCATAAGCAGTTTACAAAGTTGCCTTTGTAAATTGTGCAATGCAGTTACATACCTTACTGTATAGAGTTTGACCTTTTAATATTGTGAAGTTAAGGAACAGAGGGATGGAAATTTCTGTGTAAAATTTCTATGTGAATAATTAAGAGATTAATATGACATCCCAAGAGATTATGAAATGCTGCTTTAGTAACAGCATTGACCATTTGAATGGCCAATGTAACTATTTTTTTTGCAGCCTGTGTTCAAATAAAGCTGAACAGTAAATAAGTAAACCAGTTCTCCTGTATTACTCCTCACTGGTAAGAATAATACATAATTGAAACAATTGATTTTAATTACTAACCCAAGTATTCCATCAGCTGTTCAGCCGTTATGATTTCCATCATTGGTGGCAGCTTAATCTGTGAAAGTAAAAGCATATTATCCTTAAAATGTCAAAACACCACGATTTAGAAAGTATCAACATGGTATTTCTAGACAGAAGTCATCTGATCACATCTGCCTCACCAATTTATAAGAGCATTAGTAAACTGGGACCAAGAGCCTTCCCAGTACCTCTACTAAATAACAGCTACAAGAAGAGATTAAAAAAAGGCATTATGGCTTTTAGAGAAAGCACATGTACATGGTACTTTCTCTCACTTTAAGCTCTCTGCATAGCACTCCCTCCTCCCACCAAAACATTTCACCAGCATTCCCCTCAACTTCGTAAGAGTTCACACCACTCATTGCACTAGCTCGGCTGCAAGCACCTGGGATGAAAAGACTGGGAATTGTAGCCACACTTAAGAAAACTTCACTTTATTCAGAAGTCTTTGACTCCCTGCCTACATTGAAACTCTTTACTGAGTCTTAACTCAAAAAGTTCCAGCATAGAGACAATAGGCTGCAGAGAATCTGGTAGCAGCAGCTGCTGGGACAGGAATACCAAGACGAGGAAATGACCTCCCAGAACTCTCACTCTGTCCTGACATTTCAAGGGTTTGGTTTAACTCCACACAGAAGAGACTGGAAACACAGAACTTGGTGGTAAAGTTTCTGTTCCACTCCCTCCTGACCCATTCCTGTCATTGGCACCTGCTAAAACCAACCACCCTGGCAGCCACCAGAGCCAAAAGCTTCTTACATATTCTCATGCCTAAGGTTTAATAGGCTCCAACCACTTTGCTGGTTGCAGAGAGGAAGGAGGAACTTCCTCCATGAGATGAAAAAACAATACATATTGAAGCCTTTGATGTAGCATCTCCTTCATCAATCATCCTGAGTAAACATTTTGCTTGCGCACTTCCATTTACACATCTCCCTGCAACTACAGCCAGAGCACAAAGGCATGCTTCTGGCTATCTGAAGGAATACCATAGGAGTGTATCATCTTTAACCATACTGTGCTCAATTTTTCCTTGCATAAGTATGTATTGTATTTTGCTAGGGTTTGGGTTTTTTTTTTTTAAGCTTTCTCTTCCATTTTTAATCTTTTCATCCTCTTTTCAACATCTTACCACTGGAAGTCTAGAAAGTCTGGTATTTATTTTAAGAATTTTTAAATCAAGTTCCTGAACACTGTTCACAGTTCTCCTTGACATGAAAGACACAATGTGAGATAGGTAACTCATGCTTAAGGTTTAATAGGCTCAGACTACTTTGCTGGTTGTGGAGAGGAAGTTCTTTCATCAGATACATATAAAGTCTTTGATGAAGCAACCCAAACTCAAAAATACACTATAGCAACAGAGTACACTGTTCACGTTGTGATGGAGAGGGCTTCCTTCCCAAACTGAAAGCTAAGCCATTTTAATAACTTCAATTTAGTGTGATTGCACTAGATCTATCTCTCCACTGATTTTATTCATATCTGACAAAAGGCATATGGATTTACAAGAAGTTTCATTAAATTTGGAAGAAAGAGATCCAAGTTAATATGGCCTTGCTATTTATACACTAAGAAATATGACCATACTTAGGTCAGAATTGGCCACACAGCATATGCCACACACTAATCAACCTGGAGATGGTGGCTATAGAAAGAAGCTGATGGTACCAAGATCTGATGAAGGAAGGGAATGAAAGTATAAATTGTTAGTAAAACAGAAAATTCCTGACACATAAATTCATCAGAAAGAAGGCTTAATTAGTTCTGCTCATAAAAAACAATGAAAACGATATGAATTAAACAAGAAAAATCAGTCATGCATGCACAGGCACATGAATTTTTGAAAACATCTTTTAAATGAGTGACAACTGACTGGAGCTTACAAAATTTCTCAACCTTTCCCCAAAACTAATACTCAATAGGATAAAGGTTTTCATAATCTTTGATCTTGTTCATAATATTCATACTGACTATTCATATAAACATAATATTTGCATACACGTAAATGTAAATAACAGGACTACACGTTCAAAATGCTGATTCTTAAACTTCTAGTTCTGAATTGGCAGCAGTCAAGCCTTAGCTAACATCAGCTTGCACATCCCTGAGTTGGTTCTGGTTCATTACAGCTTCTAAGGCACGTGGATGTAATGGCACAGAACAGAATTACTTACGCTAGATCTGCTTGAAGTAGTTCTGGGACTACAAACAGTACACATGTGCCAGCATAATATAGTATAATAGCACTGCTCCCTCAAATATTAGCAGGAGTACCGTGATGACTCAGCACCAAAACTAGCTCTTTTTAGTATTTATTTAAAACCTTTTGCATCAGCTCAGCCAGCATTGCTTGGGGATTTCTGCTCAGCACCACATTTGGGAACCTAGAAGTATGCGTGTACTACAAAAAGCAGCTATACATGGGTTACCTGTATTTGAGTTCTTCATATTCCTGGCATAAACATACTAATGTTTCAGGCTTTATGGACTTATGGTATTATTTGTATCACTGATTAACAATCTGAATTTTCCCTCACAACTGTAATGCTAAGCAACTTATGTTTTTTTACTGCAGAACCAAAGCAGTTTTATTTGTATCTGCAGAACTGCTCACTTGAATCCTAAACAAAGTTAATGTATTACTTCATGGCATAATTTTAGGGCTGGCACGTTTTGTAGGACCTTGATCACACCTTTAAAGTTTCCAACACAGTCACAAGTACTTCTAATAGAGCTAATGTAGGATATAGAGAGAACATGACATTTCCTAACTGTTTGGAACTTCATTACGAGTGCTTAAGCTATAGGAAACAGGAAAGAAAAACACCTCAAAGCTTGAGAGAGGAAAAAAAATCATACAGAACCACAGTCATTCTCCAGATAAATCAACAGAAGAAAACAATTTAAGCAGCTGCTGTCCATAGCAATTTTATTTTGAGGAACAGTTTTCTCCATAGGTTTCAATGCTTAGTTTCTAGATTTCACATTAATTTTACATTTTAGGAAAAACATGTTTCCTCAGTTCCCACCCACTTCCTTTACCCCTCTATTGCAGCTTCCTAGTCTTTCATCTTACTCTCTCTCTTCCTAACTCTAGCTACTTTTCATTTCTGACATTCAGAAGTGGGAAACTAAATCTTTCTCACCCAACTATAATGTGAGGTACAGCTGAGCTCCCTTTGTAATTAAAAGAAAGACTGGTAAATAATTTTTGTATTGAACAGTTGCTGCAGTACAACTTCCACACTTCCTATGCATTAGAGTACAAACTAGAAAACTACATAATACTAATTTTAAATATTTCCCACTGTATTCTCCCACGCTTCAGAAAGGCTTGAAAAAACCAACTAAGTGATAAAGTCCCACATAGATGCTAACACTTCCAAAAATACTACATGTACAGACCATGCAAATGTCTAATGGCTTATTATTTATAGTCTCAGAGCATGTTTATCTAAAATATGCAACTCCCCTATATTCAGAGTTCTAGAAGAGGTAAGGGTAGCTTCAAGTTCCATGACAAAATCAATTAATACTCCCTGCAAATACATACCTTTTGCATTGTAGGAAAAGCTTCATGAACTTGTCTCGACAGCCTAATAGCACATGCTGCTACCCAATAACCTTAAGATCTTCCCCCCTCAACCAGGTTTCCTTCAGTCCCTCAGAGCAGTCTTCCTGATCCAGAAAATACACTACAGGTCTGCAAGCTCAGCTCATCCCACAGGTGCAGGAGAAAGGTTGCCAAGGCCTCTGCTGAGCAGTCATCAGAAGCTCACCAGCAGCTCACCTTCAGAGGCTAAGACACTCCATCTGAGCAATCTATGCAAATTCTGGCCATAGGGAGGTTTACCTCAGTAGCAAGAAAAAGTAGATCACGCACAAAGGACCGGTGCCAGACCTCAGACCTGGCACCACCACTGCAGACTCCAACAAATCCAACGGGTATCAGCAGGAGCATACTGTACTCGGCTCCTCTGAAAAAGGGCCATTTTTATGAGACCTAAAACTAAAAAATTCTAACTAGAATGTTTTTACTCTATTTCTCTTCCGCACCTCAGTTTGAATACATCTAAACATAAACAGTTCTGTAACACTTACTTACATAATTGTCACAATCACCTAAATAAGTAAATCATACAGTTCTAAAAGTTACCAGAATTTTAGTACAACTCTGCATGTAGGGAACACAGCTCCCAAAACCTTCCATTCGTTCAGAGGGCTGTCACAGAAAAAACTTTTAAAGACACTGTCAAATACACTACTGGGGTTACTCTCGCACATGAAAAGCTGTAAGGACAAGATATTCCATATGCACTCACTTCAAGGTGATATTAATATTTTTTGTATTGCATTATGTTCTCCCTTCGGCTTATTTTATGGTCCAAAACAATTTGTTTCTCTGTCCCCTGGACATTTCAGATATGTCATTTCTGTGCAATGCATTAAGGTTCAGAATTCTTTGGCTACATGACATCATCTCCTACCTAAGAATCAGAGCAGAATTACATGGCAAGCTTATTAAGCTTTAAGCATCTGCTGATTGCCATGGAGTACATCCTGAGGAGGGCTACCCCCCCCAAATTACAGCTTAATGCAATGCCAGAAGTTATCGGAAAGTGATGCATGAACCGTATGTAACAAAGATCATAAAAAGTACTTGGAAAAGCAAGCGTTGCACTGCTAAGCTTAACTACATAGTGAGCCACAGCCTCGAGGGAAAACTGATCAGCCTTCAGATTTAAACAAGCTGAAAGTCAGTGCCCCACACTGGGACAACCCATGCTTGTACACACATTTTAAATGTTTGTTTTGATACTCTAATAATGCTTTTCTTTCCATCACAGAAGCCTAAATGGTTACCACAGTTTCACAGTTACTTTTTCAAGTTGGTATGATACTGCTTTTGTTTTATTCTTTCTTAGAACATCTTTGTAACACTTGTGTAAGCAGAACTCCTCAGCACTATGTCCTTAAGGCTAAACTGCAAGTTACACTTAACACAAGCAGTCTGCAAAAACACTCTAAAAGAAAAGTGATAGCATAATTGTAACATTTAAAAGTACAGCTTCTGCAGTCTGCCACCTCAAAGTTGTATGCTCATACTCTATTGAAAGTATTGGATAAAAAAAGAGGTAGCAGTTTTATTGCAAGTTTACTTTCAAAAACTGGTGCTATCAAAAGGGAATCCAAGAGGTGCCAAGAGGTGCTACTATTTTTGAATTTCAAAAAAACCCAAGCATTGTCAAACCACTGCTTCACAGATGACAGCATAGAAATGCAAAATTCAAAGAATCAATTATTTTTAAGTAGTCTTTCTACCTGTATTTCTCAATAAAGAAGTGAATTCTAATATCAAAAAATACCTATTAAAAGTATAATAAAACCTGAATAATTATTAGGAACAGAGAATAATCTCGCTCCATTAATGAACAAGATCTTCTAGCTACTAAGAAGAAAAATTCTGAATATGTGGTACTTACCTAAGGTACACCTTATGTCTTCTTGTTATTGCAACCCTTTATGCAAATTAACAAACTACCTCTCTCAGTCTCTCCTCCCTCAGCGAGGACTATCCAAAAAAACCCGGAAGCATGGAATTGACCATGCAAATCAGAATGTTCATGAAAACCTGAAAACTAGTATTGCAACTGTGGTTTCTCAGCTTCGAGCATTTGAATCTATTCAGTTATTTGAGAACATACCTACCTACAGGATGACGAAAACTCTCAGCCTTGTCAGGATAAAGTTTTGAGATGGAAAGTTGGTGGCTGATGCAGGGAAGAGAGCCCAGCCCTTGACTGTTTATCCTTTTATTCTCTGTTGTGATTTCACCTCCCATCCTCATCTCCTCTTTACATCATTTCCCCCCCCCCCCCCCCCCAGCTTCTATTCACCTAACACATACTATGGTATTCTAGTTCTGCTTTTGTCTATTTTCATCTCTTGGTCTGCTCCCTTGTTCCCAAATTATAATTACTTGACCTAATCTAATGTTCATAATTACATTATGCCTTACTTTAATTGCTTAAAAGTTAAAAAGAATTATTTTAAGACTATAGTAAATCCACATCCATGATGGCTATTAGAATATAAGCACATTCAGGTCTCAGAGCTGCATTTATTACAACCCAGTTTTACTCGTTAATTTAAATACAATCTATTCTGCGTAACTGTACAAATGTACCCCTACTCTTAAGGCAGTTAACTTGCACAAATCTGTATTTTATACAACTCTGCATACACTTCATTGTACAAAACTAACTTTATTTCCCAAAATACCACCTATGTTTTCAGTGCTATAAATAGTAATGTTTACTTCCTAGAAACATGCACGCATCTGCAAATAATGCATCGCTTTGTTTAATAAAGGATCATCTAGATTTTTATTCTATTTTAAGGCAACAACAAAGTCTACCTATTGCAGCAGCATCTAAGTAGCATATTGGCAGTAGACTGCCAATATTTATTTTCCAAGTTCTGTATGTAAGATACGTGATTAACAGCAGAAATAAGTCTTTCTTGACAGAATCATAAAGTGGTTTGGGTTGAAGGGACCTTAAAGCTCATCCAGCTCCAATCCCCTGCCATAGGCAGGGACACCTTCAACTAGACCAGGCTGTTCTAAGCCCCATCCAGCCTGGCTTTGAACACTGCCAGGGATGGGGCAGCCACAGCTTCCCTGGGCAACCTGTGCCAGCGCCTCAGCACCCTCACAGGAAGAGCCTCTTCCTAGTATCTGAATCTCCCCTCTTTCAGATTAAAGCCGTTCCCCCTTGTCCGATCCCTATATGCCCTTACAAAAAGCCCCTCTCCAGCTTTCTTGATAACGTTGTCTTACTCGGTACAAAGTTCTGGCTGCGCATTAACGCGGTGTCGGCACAGGTGCCTCCCGAACGCTTTCAGCACTAAAGGAAACGCCCCGCCCGCAGCGGCGATGTCGGCGTTCAGGTCACGGCACTACCCAAGCGGCACCGCCCGCACCCGTCATGGCACCCGCAGCACGGTACCTTCCAGGCCAAGAGCAGTACGTTCATGATGGCCAGCAACGGGCAGGGTCCGTTCTCGTTCTGTGTGATGACGGGAGTGTTTTCCTCCTTCCAGCGGACCCACTTGATGTGATAGACCGACTGGCCCGGGAAGCGCTCCTTAGAGGCGGAGAGGAGCTGGGAGCCCGCAGCGGGCCTATCCCCTTCGGGCTCCGGAGCCGCGCCCTCCGAGGAGGCCCCTGCCACCACCGCCTCCTCGGCATCGCTGTTGAGCTCGGAGCTGCTCGGGCAGCAGGAGTGCAGGTTAGAAAAGGAGTCCAACGAGTCCAGGCTCCGGGACTCTTCCCCCGGGGGACTGGGAGCCCCGCTGCTCCCGGAGCCAGCCCCCGCGGGACCGCTCTCCGATGTAGGCGCCGCTTCGGGGCTTTCCAGCACCGCCAGCCCCGCGCCTTCCGCCGCCGGCGTGCTGCTTTCAGGGGCCAGCGAGGGAGACGTCGTACAGGGGACCACGGCGAGAGCGGGGGCCCGGGGAGGGGAAGGGCTGCGCCGCCCGCCGCCCTCCTCAGCCGCCGCGGGCCCGTCGCGGCAGCCGCCCTCGCCTGCCGCCGCCTCTTCCAGGAGGAGCTGGCTGGCAGCGCCCCCGCCGCCCGTCTTCAGCGAGCCCGGAGGCGGCGGGGGCTGCGCCAGGCTCTCCATGCCCGGCCCGCCCGGTTCCGTCGCTCTCTATTGGCACCGCAGCGGCTGTTCCTTCGCCAACAGCGCCCAAGACGCCATAACACCAGCGACGGCTCCGCCCCGCCGGGGACGTGTGGGCGGGAGCGGGAAGCAGCCAAGGGTGACCGCGGGGCCCGGGGCGGGGGAGGGAGCCCCGAGGGCGTGGCCGGCGGAACCTGTCGGCGGACGGGAGCCAGGGACCAGCAGCGAGGACGCCGGTGCCCGGGGAGTGGGAAGGGGGCAAACAGGGAGGAAGTGCTCGCGCCCCCCGTGAGGGGAGCGGGAAGCGCGCAGGCCTCGGCGCGAGCCCGGAAGGGGAAGCATGAGGCGGGGCAGGGTCGGGCCTACATCCCGTAGCCGGTGGGCCGCGCATAAGCGGGACAGCTTCCTGAGGCGGCGCGGGCTCTGAGGGTGCCCGCTATCCGCTCCGCACCGGCGCAGCGCCCGCCAGCGGGCGTACGGCAGAAACTTCCTCGTTGCCGCGCCCCTCTTTTGCAGGGAGGTGGCGGGGGCGGGCCGCGCCTGCGCGCGAAAGGAGGTGTGCGCAGTGAAGGGGGATACCTGCCTGCGGACGCTGGGCTGAACCGCGCCGGGAGCAGCGAGGGGAGGTCTGTGCCCGCGGGCGCTGAGGTGAAGCGCTGCGGGAGGAGGCCGTCGGCGGCCCGGTTGTCCCTGTGGAGGCGTTCAGAGCTTCCTGCTGCAGTTTGTGAGGTACCGATATTACTGAAGTACCCATACGGTGAGTGTGACCGGTAACTTAGGAACTGCTGCAGTCGTATTACTCCATTCACCTTAATGAATCCGTTTCCTTCTCTCCTTATAGAAACCTTCAGCTTTTAATCAAAAGTTTTGAGTACAGTTTTGGGAAGATAAATTCTTATGTTCTCTGTTCTTGGTAGTCAGACCTCTTATCTGAGGTCTTGCTAAACAACATTAGCAGCCTTATCTGAAGTACATTAATTGTAACTATGCTTACTTACACATTTATGTAACTTCTCCCTGCTGTACCTGTTGGGGTGTGTGTGTGTAATTTGAGAATTTGGGTTTTTTTATTCTGACAGGGCAATAGGGCTGGAAAAGGAAAAATAAAGGATGAGAGTATAAACTGAGAAACTTGTCACAAACCCTAATATAAATAATAAATCTTTGGGTGAGCATAGTTAAATGTAAGAATTAGCATATTGACTGTCAAGAAATTAATATCTTTAATGTCTTTATTGATGATCTGGTTAAGAGAATCAAGTGCACCCTCAGTAAATTTGCAGATGACAGCATCTTGGGTGAGAGGTCTGCTGGAGAGTAGAAAGCTCTGCAGAGGGAACTGGACAGGCTGGATAAATGGGCTATGGCCAGCAGGATGAGGTTCAACAAGGCAAAGTGCCAGGTCCTGAACTTTGGGTCACAACAACCCCACACAATGCTCCAAGCTTAGGGAAGAGTGGCTGGACAGCTACTCAGTGGAAAAAGACCTGTGGATGTTGATTAACAGACGTTGAACGTGAGGCAGCTTGTGCCTGGGAAGCCAAGAAGGCCAGGGGCATCCTGGCCTGTATCAGCAATAGTGTGGCCAGCAGGTGCCAGGGCAGTGATTGTCCTCCTGCACTGGGCACTTGTGAGGCCGCACCTCAGATCCTGTGATCAGTTCTGGGCCCCTCTCTAGAACAGAGATAATTGAGATGCTGGAGCACATCCCAGAGAAGGACAGTGAAGCTGATGGAGGTTCTGGAGCACAAATGTGGTGAGGAACAGCTAAGGGAACTGGAGGGGTTTAGTCTGGAGAAGAGAAAGCTCAGGGAGGACTCCATTGCTCTCTACACCTACCTGAAAGGAGATTGTAGTGAGGTGGGGGTCTGTCTCCTAAATAAGTGGTAGGACATGAGGTAACAGCCTCAAGCTCTGTCAGGGAAAGTTTAGACTGGATATTAGGAAAAATCTATTCACTGAAAGGGTGGTCAGACATTGGAACAGACTTCCGAGGGAAGTGGGGGAATCAGTCCCTGGAAGTGTTAAAAAATGTAGATGGAGGCTCCTAGTGGCATGGTTTAGTGGTGGGCTTAGCAGTCCAGGGGTAGAGGTTGGGCTTGATGATCTTAAAGGTCTTTTCCAATCCTGTGAAGCATTCTGCCATAATGGTTCATGTTTTATCTTCACTGGAGGATTTTCCTTTATGCTTGAACCATGAAGGTTACTCAAAATAGCCTCACAATGAAGAAATCCCTGTTCAGTGGGGACAACCTCAACATACTGTGACACACAGAGCACCAAGAGAAATAGGTGACTTAAAACTTGAAAAGTAAGTAAATTGGAATCTTCAAGGAAAAATGTATATCGAGGCCAACTGATACAGCTAACTGATGGAAGGTATTTACACTTCCATCACACCTCCTTAAAGGAAGGAGCCCCAAGGCTGCTCACACAAAGGTGTGAAGGGGCTGAGAGATGCTGCTCGGGTACGAGCCAAGTTTGGGCACCAGCTCGGTTCTTTTTTCACCGAGGATGCAGATCCTTGTGGCCCACGGAGATACCGGCACCACTCGGCCCCAGCAGAGCCCTTCAAGGGTTCAGAGGCCACAGCTGCCCCGCCTCGCCTCGCAGGCAGCCCGAGGGTGACGGCAGGCGCGGCCTCAGCCGAGAAGCCGCCCGGTCCCTCCGGTGCCGTGGGCGGGATCAGCAGCTGATGCCTTCCCGGTTACACCGCTGAGGAAACGCAGCTTCAACGGACCCGGCCGGGCCCGCGGAGGCAGCCGGGAAGGCTCCGCCCTGCCGCCATTGGGCGTCTCCGCTGACGTGCCGTCTTGCCCCGTTCGTCCGGGCCCCGCCCGTTGCGTGGAGAGGGAAACGGAGCTGCTCGTGCGTCCTGGGCGTGCCTTGCGGCCCCGCCTCGCCGATGGCGTCGAGCGGGAGGCCGGAGGAAGCCGTGGAGCGGAGCTTAGTGGGGCGGGGCGAGGCGGAGCGGAGCGCTGCTGGGCGGGGGGCGCCGGGGCAAGCTCGGCGGGGGACAAAGCGGAGGGAGGCGCGGAGCTTGTCCCTCCCCATCCCGGCGCGCGACAAGGGCGGATGTGCTGTGGGTAGGCGGCGGCGGCGGCGGTGGGGCCTGGGCCCTCTGAAGATGGATCTAGCGGGGACGATAATCCTGCTGTGCTCCTGTGCTGCAGGCGCCGGAGGTGAGGACGCGGCCAGGCCCTCCCAGCCCACGGAGCCCTGGCTTGGGGCTGCCGGCCTCCCTCCTTCTTCTCCTCTTCCCTGATCCCTCTCCGCCGCGGCGCGGCTCGGGGCTGGGGGCGGCTGGCCCCTCTCCCCTCAGCGCCGCGCTTCAGCGCCCCGGCGGCAGGCCGCGGCTGGGCCGCCGGCCCGGGCTCTCCTTTCTGTTGCCAGCTCCCAGACGCGTCCCCTCTGTCTTGCCCAGGCTTTTTTCCTCTCCGCCTGTGACTGCCCCGGCTCCCCTGCCCTTTTCCCGAGACTTTTTTTCCGCTGAGGTCCGACCTAGCTGTTCTCTCTTTTCTTCCTCGGCCCCTTTTCCCTACCGCTCTCGGCTGTGCTTCCCGTGCCCGGCTCTGTGCTCTCGGCTGCGCTTCAGTTGCTCGGGACTTTCCTCACGGTCCAAGTAGCCACTTCCCGGTTACCTTCCTCCTCCCCGCCCCTAGCCCGCGGACGGAGTTAGGCGGCGGCTCTGGGGAGCGGTGGCGGGCCCAGGCGGCTGCTCCCGGGAGGGCCGAGAGGCGTCACGGCAAGTGGGGAGCGGGCGGGCGGGGGGGCGCGCAGGTGTCCCGCTGCCCACGGAGCGCCCCTCACCTCGCCTTCCCTGCGGCCGCTTCCCTGACCCCGAAAGCCGGAAGCGCGGGTAGATGGGACGCTCAGATTGAGGAAAAAAGGCGAGCCCGGGTTTTTCCCTGAATTGTGACCGTAGCTTCAAGGAGGGTCTGTCTCCCTCTCTCCTAGGCCACAGGAAAACGTGCTTGTGTTTATGGGGACGAGTAACTTTGTAATGACTCCCGTTATGAGTTGATTTTCAGCAGGGAAACTGTTAGGGCAGTTTGTTGACTGTGTCTGGTAACGTTTAATTGATCAAATGATGGGTGGGAAGTAGTTTCAATTTTTTACAAGGGTAGACTTTTAAAAGGTGGACTTCGGAGGGTATTTCTAGAGAAGGAGTGGCAGAGCAGCTGAGAAGTCCTCTTTTCCAGTTTGGCCCCTCTCCTATTTATGTGGGCTCTGCATCTGTGTACATTAATACCTATGTTTATTAACGAAGAATTTAGCCCTAAATCCTGGTCTTTTGCATGTTATCAAAAAGTAATATCAACGTATGTGGAAACTTAGTTGGTTGTACTTGTGGCTAAGCAGTGAGATGAAAAGCAAGCTGATTTGAGTGGTCAGAAGTCATCCCATTATTTCTAGGATTAGGAGTGATATACAGAAAAGGTTTTGGTGATTTTCTCGTTAATAGATTCTTGTAAACTATCAAGATATTTTAGACTTAATTATTGGCATGCATTTCAGGGCCTCTTTGTTTTCTGAACTAAACAGTGCTGGCACAGAATTAACACAAAGTGATTCATTAACCAGTTGTGAGGGTTGTTCCCACTGTTTAATGCCAGGCAGGCAAATGTGCCTTAAAGTCATAGTAAGCATAATAAGTACTTTCCTCTGGATATATAGAAGCAAGCTCATGAAGTGTATTTTAATTTAGAAATTCATGTTAATTTTTTTCTTTGAGAGAAGAATGGGCACCTTCAAGATCTCTTGCACTAGGAAGCATACCTCACTAGCAGGTAACAGAAGCACATCTCTTGGTGTTTATCAATGAAGGTAAATGTCTAAAGAAAGCGTAATAATACTGGATAGAAATCTAGTAGTGATGTCTAATACACATCTCTGAAATACCCTATGAAACTTTTCTGGTAAAAGTCTCAACACTTACGAAAGACTTACTGTAACTGTGTAGAATCAAGATTGGTTTTAAATATTAGGACTTTCTGTTTTAACTGCTCACATTTTTAGAGTTTCCTGTATTTTTTTTTTAATTTACTGAAAAAAAAATAGAGGTCTTCATTTGCATGCTTTTCTTCTAGGCAGGCATTAATATCTGTGTGAAAAAGGATAAATTCATGATTCTTAACAGTTTTACTGTGACAGCAGTGCAGACTGGAAACAGCTGAGACCCAGCAATTTGCCTTGTTTCATTTGTGGACAGTGCTCATTAATTTTACGCAAATCTTGAAGCTAAGTTTACCTGTAATGTGTCTAGTTTTAAGCATGCAGGTATATTAAGCAGTACTTAATTATCCATATTTAATGGTGCTCTTTGGGGAATGGAAATAACTGATAGAATCATTCTACCTGAGCACCATTAAAAGAAAAAAAAAAGGGGGGGGGGAGGGAAGGAGAACAGAAAATATTAAAAGAGAACTTACGAGATCCACCAAAAGCTGGAGTTTAATTAGAGTGATCATGCCTTGTCTAGGCTGATCAGATGCTGACTCTGTTACAGATCTGTGATAAATTGCTTGTATTCACTGATACAACACACCCTTCTATGTTTTGCTAGGACTTTCAAGTAGTATCTTGGTGTCCTGTGCTGCTGGATATTGAAGTACCTATTTCCCTGTGAGCATAGGAGAAATTCTGTTTTTTCTGGACACATGGGGGAGTTGTGAGAAGGCATTTGTGAGATATTGGTGTCTGAGCAATTTAGTTTGCATCCTTGCTATAAATTGGGAAGAATACTAGCCTTCATTAACATGGCACTCAGCCTCAAGCATTCATCTGGGGTTTAAAAGCATTATGAATTCTATATGACTGGATGAGACAGTGTCTAGCAAAGACAGCTGTCAGATGGTTGCTTCAGAAATGCCCAAGGTAATTAAAAGTAAATAAAATCAGGTGTTTAGTAACTTCAGAACATGGTTGCCAAAAACCCTAAGACTGCAGTTTATTTTTGCTTTTAAAAGAATCTAGATGTTCAGTTATGCAGTATGGCAGAGCCACTGTAATGAATTACTGCTGTCTGGTGGTCCTGCTTGGCAGTTCATTCCCACCTCTCCTTCTTCACTGCTTCTTGTTTGATGGCATGTGGGAGCCAATTCAGCTGCTGATTTAAACAAAATAAATTAATCATTTCCTGCCAGACATGTAACAGTTTATTGTGCAGACCCAAGCCCAGTGGGAAGAGCTGAGACTTGCACAGGGTGGAGAGGAAGAGGGTAAAACAAAAAGAGGCCATCTGCTTACACGAATGGTGCTGTACTGTCTAACTGTGCCCTAAATGTGAGTTTTCAGTGAAGGGAAATGATCCTGACTTGGACTTTCTGGTTGCATGTTTTTCTTCCACTAAAGGCTAACTTGACCAGAAGTGTGGTTTTTCAGCCAAATCTGTTTTAGTGCCAGCACAAGGGAAGAACAGAAATGGAGTAGAGGAAAAAGGGCAGTGGGACCCGTCTGTCTGCTAGCAGCTATGAAACTACAGCCTGAATAAATTCTTCAGCGAGATTTAAGTCTGGAGGTATATGGTAGGATTACTGGCTTTCAGTATACTTAAGCATGGAAGGGCTAAATCTGAATGCTATGTACGCTCTTTAATGTTCCATGTAAAGGAAACGTTTTTTTTTTAAGAGGAATAAACTTGACATTGAAAACTGCTTGAAGAAGTGCATCTTGCTTTGATTATTTTAATTAAAATTATAATAATCTCTTAGAGATTTATCATATGGTGGCATTTCCAATCTGCAAATTAATTATGACAAAGTAAAAAGAGTTGTCTGGTAGGTTAGCCTGGCTGCTGAACAATTTCTGATAGTCTGTCAGGTTGTGTTCTGGGCTTTATTTTTCACTAACAAACTTGAGTTATATTTGAACTATTTGCCTTTGTCATGCAAATCTTAATGTAAGTTGTTTAGTGTAAACCTCATCTTTTAGAACAGTGCATACTTGATTTATCCTTTTCTGGGAAGGTAAATGTTATTTTTTGCCACAGTATGTACAAACTTTAATGTTTTTTTTTATGTTTACATTGGTAAACATTCAGTAGTTCTTTACCAGTTGTCTTTATATGCATGAAGCTAGCTTCTGTAAGGACTTCCTCCATAATCTTTTGAGATGATTATGAATGTTGAATATTATGCAGGAGATTGTGTATCAGTTGCAGACTTTAACTGCTATAGCAATGTTAACATTATACATGCTTCTGGAAGTTAATGTTCATTTGAAGCCTTGATTTCAACCCTGTCTGAAATCCCTTTTCTAAAAAGCAGTAAAATAGCATATGCTCTAGGTGATACAT